ACATTGGCCAGTATGAATTTTATCTTGACTTACTACTGTATTGACTACTTCAACATGACAGGTTAAGTGGTGCTTTGGTTATATATATACACTTTCCACGCTGCTGCGCGTTCTAATTGACCTTACTGATTCAGCGCATCCCCTGGACTGCATTGTTTAATTGTTTTGAACTATCTGAAGCATGACATATAATCAATGTCACCATTTAATCCGCTAAGACACTACTATCACTTTTAAAAAGTATTTCGGAACAATGACTCCTTATATCATCCAAAAGCCAGGGAATAAATGACGTAAACAGAAATAAGCATGCTGCATATCTAAGGACTTCAACAACCTGAAGCAAACCTACCCTTTACTTGAGGGTGCGAAAAACCAACATGAAGTGTGTGAGAAAACACAAGAAAATAATGCTGTCACTACAGCATGTAAGTCCTGAAACCTCTGCCGTTTCCAGCAGACTAGAGAAAATCAGGCTGATTTCAGACCAGACGTGGCTGTATAGTCCAAATTTTTACACTAAGACAGGTCCTGGAATACTGATACGAACTTAGGCCTACGACAATAATCGCGTTCCTAGATATAAAGGCGGCATTTGACTCAGTGGATCGTGAGGTTCTGTGGCAGTGTCTGTCATTGAAACGTGTACCAAAGAAGTACATTAACCTCATAAAAGCTCTCTACTCGAACACCACTAGTCGAGTGAGAGCTTGTGGGCAACTGTCATTGGAATTCTTTACTTCAAGTTGTGTCTGTCCAGGATATATACTCTCTCCATTCTTGTTTAATTTTATCATAGACATGTTCCTAGTTATAACCTTATTCTCGTTAGAATTTTTAGGAGTATACCTTCTACCATGAAAATCGCTTGCTGACTTAAGATATGCTGATGACATTTTTCTATTCGGTGAAGGCGCTGACAAAATGCAGAGCATTCTGACTACCCTGAGCAACAATGCAAGCATGTTCGGGATGCGGTTCTCTCCTCGAAGTGCAAAATGTATCTTCAAGATTGGGTTGCATCGACTCCCGTACTAGTGATAGGGACTGAAGTTTTAGAACGTGTAGACCGCTCCACTTATCTGAGTAGTCTCATCAGTGCTGATATCCGGACGACTGACGAAATCTCAGCACGGATACAGAAAGCTGGATTAGCATTTACCAACCCGCGTCACCTACGTCGTAGGCGAAATATCCGTTCAATGACTAAAGGACGAGTGTACTGCAGCAGTAGTTTGATCCGCCCTATTTTATGGCTATGAAACGTAACCACTGAGAGTAGAAGATATTCGTAGGTTACTGGTTTTCGATCATAGGTGTTTTTGAAGCATTGCACATATATCCTGCGACAACCGAGTTAGCAACGCTGCTATTAGGAAACGGGTGCTAGGTAAGAATGGCAGCAAAATAGATGAAATGTTGAAACTTCATCAGTTGAGTTGGTACAACATGTGCTTCGTATTCCTAACTACATACTGCCTCGTCGAGCTATATTTTGCCGTGTACGAATAGGTTGGAAGAATGCTACGGGCGGCCAGACCAAAGCATAGCAGAAACCCATAAACTCATTGACGAGTGGACTGAATCATGTAAGTAGGTGTCCACCACCGGGTTGGGGTCCGCGAGATGATAATAATCGATGGTTAGTTACCCTGAATGACACGGCTCAAAACCGTTTGCAATAGCGCAAGTGCAAACACTCTTTGTGTTCTATGAAATTCTAACCTCCGAATTCCCTATCACCTCTTTTCGAATTTACCTCACTAAATTATACTTCTTGAATAACATCTCAGAAACCTAATCTCCCCGATTTCTTCCAATATTCTTACTACGTCTTCTACTATGCGATTTGAACTGACAATTATATCTCCTTGCTAATGAGGTATGTCAACTTGAACTGATTTGCTTACGGATGAAGTTCTACTTTGTAACTGACTGACGGTCTTCTGCTTAACAAACGCATGAAGAAGGTTTCACATTGCTAAATTCATTCTGCAATACATGATGGAGAAACATATTATGACGAATTGTTTAGTACATGGTTCTCTTTCCATCAGAATACATCTCTTATCCTGATATTATTATTACCTGTAGCAGTAAGAATAATCCCAATACCAATTATTTTGATGTTAGCAATATTCAAACCGTCATTAAAACCCTCAAACCCAACGGCAGCTGTGGTGCGGATGAGATACATTCCATAATTTTTAAAATGGCAGGACCAAACTTTCTAGTGCTTTTACTGAAAATATTTAAGTTATCCTTAGTGGCTGGTACATACCCCGAAACCTAGAAATAAACTCATTTTGTCCCTAGAGATAAATCTGTGCCAAAAAACTTAATCCAAAACTACTGACCGATTAACATCACCACATTTATATCACGTGTAATGGAGAAAGCGATAAAAGGTCAATTATCTGATAACTTACTCAAGATAGGTTACATTGAACCCTCACAACATGGATTAATTGGAACTAGGTCATACATCACAAGCTTGAAAGATTCCTTTAATCAGCTTAACGACATACATGATCGAAAGAAACTAGTGATCGTGTTTTAGTTTGATATGAAAAAAGCTTTCGATAAGGTAACTAACAATCTCTTAATCAACTGACTTCAGTTGATTGTGATTACTGGCCATCCACTGCAATGGGCAGATACATAAATGCCAAAATTTACTTCACTACACCAACTAGACCAATTATCAGTTATGCTGTGCAGGATAGTGTCTTAAGGTTCACTGCTTTTCATAATCTACATTGGCACCTTATACATTTGCTTCAACACTGACAAAACCTACCTCTATGCTGATGAACCAAAACTGATCTTTGAAACTAAGTAATCTGACATACGAAATTCGGTGCATACAATCCAGCAAGTGCTCAGTTATGTAGATGACTGATGTAAGCATTAGAACCTAGAACTCGATAATGAGAAACCTTTGCCAAAATTACCCCCACTTCCAGGAGGAACGTTTTGCCTTAACTCACATCAGTAGCTGATATAGGTGTGCATTACTCACACAGCCTTCTGACAATGGTCTTCTCCACTATCTTTATTTGATAATCTGTAAATCACTCAAATCAACTGTAAGGACGCCTGAGTGTGAATGAATGTTCACAACATAAGTAACTATTACTTAAGTTTATTTAAAAAACCTCGTTCACCTATTTATTAACGCACCACAATCTACATATGTGATACTGTTAGAATTACTGGCGAATCAAACACAATGCAGGTATCCTGAAGTATTCAAATCACAGTACAATGGGGTTTGGGATATATGAAATATGTGAGTACGTTTTTGCACTGATCTGACTGGAAAATTAGTCTGAAGTGAAATTATCCTTTTGAGATCTAAGACATTATTGAAAGGAACCTAGATCGTCAATCAATATATCAATACACTTCACATCACTGTTTACCAGTGATGTCAGAGAACGTGTTCCTTCAGAAAGTTACCAATTTTTCCTTTTTTTGCAGAAAATATTCTGGTGTAAACATTGGTTAATCTCAGTCTCAGTAGAAGTAGCTTATTATAACTTTACAATACGGTCCGTGTTAAAGCTTCGATGGATATTCAGGTTAAAATGCCGAGATGCGTCAGTTTCAACAAATATTATTAATCAGTAGATTATATAGACAAGCTATCGTTTTGTTCCTTACAGTCATCATTGATACCGATAACGGAGTAACAGTCCGTGTAATTACTTTATCATTCATGAAGTCGTTCAGCGGGGTCTAATTTATATTGTAAGGCATTCTGCAGTCATCCTGTTAAATGGATGTGCATGTGGATAAATCTGTCTAGAAGTCTTTGGACACAATGCTGAATATATATATTACTTATTATTGCCATTGTTCTGAGTTTTTCTCATTCGTAGTCAGTTACTTGTTTTCCTACTACCTTATTTTCGCAAATTCAACTGTCATCACACAAGAAGTTCTCATCCTCTTGTTACATCAATCCTAATTGTACACTTGTTTACTTGAAAATGTAAGCTAAATCGTGCATAATGTAAAATAAGTTGGTGAACGATTATTCGGAAAATTGCTGTCAATGGGGAAGACAATTGCATTAACTAGTGTATCTATCTGATAAAGACACTGTCATCACATCTTGTACAATACCAATTGTATGGTGATTGAACGAAAGGCTGCCTGTTCTGAGTTTCTTCATAAAAACTTCATTGTACGCAAACATCATATCGTCCTAAACTATATACTTGTGTATTTATTGAGTTTTGTTTTGGAGTTAATGGAACCAACACATACAGAAGTTAGTCATGCCATCTCTTTTTTGTCTTCTGTTAGTTGTAAGTACTTGAGTACCTTATTGTTACTAGTACAGTAAAATATTAAGGCCGTACTGTAAAGAATTGTTTTTAGGTAGAGTTCTTCAAGTTGATCAAACATTTTGCCATACTGTTTGTAGAATCTTTTTTGAATGTTTTGTTTTTTGGGAAATCCCTCCATGTTTATATATATTTGTTATGACATGAAACACTCTTTCTGTTGACATTTTGGTATTTTATTTGATTCCATTTTGAGATTTTATCATTGTATATTGTTATTATTTCTATATTTTGTACTTACATTGAAGTTCTTGTGTTTGCTTCTGAACTGTACACATGTTGTCTAAATTTGATATATAACATGGCTACAGCCACATTTTTGGATTTGATATCGTCGCAGTATACTAGTTCGCCTAGTCTTTATAACTCGGATACTCATCAGAGTAATTGGGACTTGGAAAGTATATCAAAAGTCAGGTATTGGTTTGTATTTCAATTTTAACATAATATAGACCACTTTCTCCTAGAATTATTGTGTTTTTATATTCGAATAAGGGAAGGTGCGTTCGACATACGTCTATTGGAATCAAATTGAACTGGTACGGTAGAAAATCCAGCTACACTGTTAGCCAATGTATTAGAATAAATACATCCGAATGTACTACTTAAATATTAAACTCTAGTTACTTTACAGATGTTTATAATATAAGAAGATAGAGAATCACACTAAATTTTTATCAAAACAAAATAACATGGACACATGTAAAACAATTAATGTCACTTATACGCATCGACAATCACTTTTGTTTTCCTCAAAGAATACATTTCCTCCGAGGATTCATTTTTGTACCGAATGGACATCCATATGTTTTGGCGAATTCTTCATTATGTTTCAGAATTTCATTTACGCTTTAAACAAGGCAAATCGAAATTGAAAATGAAAATTGTTAATTGGTGAAAATATGATGCATTATTGTGAACAAAACATTTTTTATCGTCATTATTCGACACTCAACACTAAAACTACACCGTTTTTCATTCAAATTAAAGATAATGTTGAGTAAATAATATAACAGTTAACAATCGGAGAATAGTAAATACATTTTCAAGCCATGAGATGAATGCATTTTGTATCAGCTAATGTATATTTACAAAGACATTACCTGAATTTATAGTTTTGAGGAAACTTGTAGTCAATCAGTTCAGGAGAGACTTCATTCACACATTACCTTCAATTATAAAGAATAGACGAAATTAGAGAGAATCACAAAAACTCAACAGATGCATACAAAAAGCGACTAACTGAAATTCAATAGAGAATACGTTTTGGTTTACAGACCGATAAGCAACAAAATCGTGAAGCCGCTTCAAACCACACTGTTTTACTTATTACGGTGGATGACAAATAGAATGAAGATACAATAAAGTTCTACTTAACTTTATTACATGTAATCAAACTGAATGGTCTAGATTGACTTCCACATGATGTTTAGATGTATGTCAACGTCTTGACGTGATATTTATGAAGAAGTTGAAATTAAAACCAATGAAAAGGATTGATGAATCTATTCATTTGTATATTCATGCTGAGATCAATCAATCAGTTTATTTGATCCGCGCACCTCTTGTCTTACACTAACAACTATCAATGATAATTTTACATTCTGATGAATAAAGAAGTGCACATTCAACTAGTAAATCAGGACATTGATTTAAAATATGCACGCGTTTTTTGCTTTCACGTAATGTTCACTTCAAATATTGAGTGGTAATTTAACAGTTGTATAAAGATTTCTCATTCACTATTACATCACAATCTGATACACAAATTGTCATCTTGTAACTAGTTCTAATCAAAATACTGAATTATTTCTAATTCAAATATTAAGGGACAAGGTAGTTGACATGATAATTGTTTTTCTTCCGAAGAACTAATTTTCAAGACTGTGCTATTATACATGAAAATTTCATTATCCACTGTGATTATGTTTGTGATAATACCACTCACTAGTGATGATCGTAACAATTATGAATTCGTTACAAACACAATGATATTCATTATTTTACCTCCTATCTACTTCTCCATTGAATCAAATCATATAATATTTGATTTACAACAACTAATCAATCTCTACATCGTACCAACTGCATATTCAGTTTTTTCGTAGCAAGGATAACATTTATTTGACATCTTGACTACGTGTTAATCAATCGAACACTGTTATTATCCTTATATGATTAGACTATTATTGACTGATATATGTCACTAATTGAGATGGTATGGTTTTAAAAGAAATTAATTTTCTCAAAAAATAAAACTTATCATTAAGATGAGATACTGTGTCACACACAAAACATACTTGAACCTAATCACCTAATTCTCTTATATCACGAGAATACTTGTTTCAAAACATATTCAGATTGTGAGTGAACTGGTGTACTGGTTGTTGAGATGGTCATCGAGAAGTTACCCACGCACATAGTTAATTGATTAACTTATCGAATCAATGCTTAAATATTTCAAGAGCAGTCGACTGATGAACTATTTTGATTGTTGTTTAAATATTTTAAGGACAATATCGATTATAAGCATAATTGTATAAATACGCATGTTTTATTGTCTATTTTTGATTCTGTTAATAATTGCTCTCCAACGTCTCTCGTCTTCTTATTTCTGAACGGTTGGAGTCTAACGTTCAGTGTTGTCATTCGTACAGTGGTTTGGCATCACTCAAGAAGAGAATGTAAAACTGCTCACTAATGACTCAAGTTCATAACATATGATAAACATATGAACATGCGGAAAAGCTTTTACTAACAAAACTGTATTGATATGCATAACTTACTTTACCGAATGCTTCGAAAAACATTTTCTTTTCATGCAAACCATCCATTTTATTCTTCATAATTTCTTCTTCGTATTTCTACGACACAAATTTGACTCATTAACTTCATTCTGTTACTTTTTAATTATACTGAAACAATGATCTTAATACCGTAAATATCTGTAAATAATGAAGTTTGCTTTACAATCACACTAGATCAATCTTTCTTTGAAGATAACGAGACCACATTCCAGTGAACATTGAATCATTTTTTAAATCTATGTTCAATGCAAGATTACTAGTACATTTTGTTGTATGTGACAGAAAACTAGCCATAAATCAATACCTACATTCTACTTGGTGATTTAGAACAAACAAAATAGTTCATAGAAATAAGTAATAATTTAATCACATATTCATGATATTTCAAGAGTAGAAATACAATATAACCTATTTCAAATTATTAAGGTTCAAAGACTTTAACAATTTTTATTGCCTCTCATCAAAATATCATTTCAAATTCAGCTACAAATTACACAGTTGTCACTTTCATTCAAAATGAAATCTATATCTAATGTTTGTATTGAGTTTGAAATTAATCAATGCAGTTAAAATGCAACTAAAGTATTTTTGAATTTAGGTTGTGTGATACTCACATAGTTAGAGTATGAGTTAGGTAGTTGACAAAAAATAAAAGATATAACATTAATTAAAGTTTACTTACTGAAAATGCTAACATAAGGCCATTAATATCAGCTGATAGTAGCTTCAAATTCTGATTGATGTGAAAAGCATCAAAGCAGGATAAATTAAGTTGATGTTTGGAAAAAAAAATTACGTTAAGCAATATATGTTTAACGTTCTGAGATTTTAAACGTGTTGCAAATTAATTGAATTCATACGTTTGAAAAGACTTTTATATGAAATCATTTATATAGTACCAATAGCACAAATAAAATCTTCTGGTATACACTTTATTTCAGTATCACAGTTTTTGTAGACAGCGCGACAGCCTAAGCGCCCGAAGTGCGATCAGTTTGCAAAATCAGTGACAAACACTGGATGGATGAAGATTGAAATATATTGTAATTGATATTGCTGTAATATCACTAATTTTGATTTAGTTATACTGCACATATTTTCTGTGTACATTCCGACACAAGTTTAGACTCAATTGTGAATGCAGCTTACACCGAGAAATAATTTGCATACTCTGTCTTTGTATATTTGGACGGTAATTTCACTTTCAATGAAATTCTCAAAGTTTTTGGTATTGACTCGATAATTTATGTTCTGTCTGAAAACCTTTATAACACATATTCACTTAGGATAAAATACTGTTGAATAATGATATAAACTCATTGAATTTGAGATGGTGGACAAGATTTGTAGCTCAGGTGGATGATTGTGGTAGTGGCGTTTGGTTCTCTGAGCTGGGTGTTTTGGTTGCGGAGTCTTCATTGTTCTTCTTATGAACAACATCATCAGCACAAACTTCAGAAGCATTCGAATTTCTCCGTGTTTGACCTGTAGCTTGTTCTGCTAACCTCGATCTTGATTGGTTGCTGTTGACCTTAAACCTGTCGTTGTTTGCACTTTTGTTTTGATTGCATCCCCCTTTTGACCTGTTTCTTGATCCTATGTTGCCTATGATTTCCCTGATTGGTTGTCAAACTGAGTCAATGTCGATATGTTCGTCGTGGCGTTAGACTGCTAATCGGTGTTCACGTAGGCGAAGCTGAAGAGGCCGTCTACTTTGTCCTATGTTGCGTTTTTCACAGTAGGAGCAATTCATTTTGTAGATGATATTTGGTTTTTCTTCCTTTTTCATTTTGTCCTTAGGTCTACATAGGATTGATTGAAGTGATTCTGTTGGTTTGTGTGCAACACATATTACAAATGGTTTCAGTAGTCGTGCTGTGTGTTCCGATATGGATCATCCTACCATACATAAGAGATATATTTTCCATATTTCAGTTTATTATTTCCCCAGAAAAAAACAATTTGAATGCTTAAACTCTGAAATAGTCAAACTACGTCTGACCAAAACGATCATTTAATTGGTCGCTTACTTTGTTCTCAACCGCTTGAGAGCTTTTCCGTCCAGATAAACAACACAGTTGATTTTCAATCGGTAATGCATTAGTTGATCCACACGACAACTGAACCTGTTGTCGTTCATCCAACTCTTTATTATTGAGAGCTGTAATGAGAATGTCATGTGAACATTGTATTCAGAAACTAACTCAAAACAGCGTTATTTTCAAGTTACAACTAAACTACTTGAATTCGTAGTTATGATTACGAAAGTGGTTTAAGGAATCTTTGTCAATTCATTATTACCACACTCCTTTGTTCATATTTCATAGTTTAAAGTAGCGTAAAACTTGCAGTACTTCTTTTATGAAGCATTGTTAATTGGAGTACACGAATCCATATTTATAACATTTGAATTCTAACGGACAGACTCAAATATGGTTTTTAACATTGATTTATAATCTAATCAGAATATAAGTTTCTAATTCTCAAAGTATTGAACAACGATTAAATATAAATATATCAGCTATGATTTACAATAAGTCTGATGCATATGTTACTCAAAATCTGACTTATCAACTTAAGTGAACATACATCTTGTAGCTGTTGACGTATTTACTAAAATCACGTTGATACCGGCAGTTAAATTTGTGTCGTCTATATACACTTTAGTAGCTTACGTTTCAATTTAGCTAGTTTTATTAACTAAATGGAAACATATTTCATGCACAGTATCAGCACAATTAGGTGAGTGTTGTGTTGAAGGCAAAACCAGATAAGCAAATCTCAGATGACCGTCATTAGTTAAGAATAATCAGTTTTAGTGAATTTTGAGAATTAGCCAAGATAAAATAGTGTTCATATTACCTCCAGACACTAGTTTACGACTAATCAACCAACCAAGAATTGCATATTTTTCCGACATGGAATTTGATGCATCCAGAAATGATGGATTTAAAAATGAAGCAGCCAAATTAATTTCAGGGTATACAACATTTCCAGGTACATTATGTGTAATACTAAAGAAATCCAAAAACAAATATTTATCAACGTGATATAATTGGTAATGATTTAAGTTTTGAAAATAATCAGTGAGAAGAAACACAGTTTATCATTTTATTCCATTCAATGACTATATTGTATGTATCACAATTTACATACAAATGAATATCGGTTTCAGTTAAAAGAATTTACAGGTTAAAAGATGGTTTTATACTGCGTGATATTAATTTTTTTAACTGAAATTTAACTGTGTTGAGACTATTTATCTAAGAGGTAGACATTAAGTTTCACTTCAGGTAAGCATTATCTGTTTTTATGAAATCAGAGAAAAGTTAAATGTGTAAGTTCCTGTGAAGTAAAAAATTTTGTCATTGATTATTTTCTGAATGATTGGCACATTAACAATAATACAAGGTATAAGGAGAATCTCCCTTATCCAAAAATCCACATGGTGTACGCAATCACATTGTACATCGATTGATGAAGGTGCAATGTCAGGAGAATAAAATAAGGAAAGGTTGACATGTTTTTTTTCTTTCATCTTGTTCACACTGTGTCGTTTTCTCAGATTATTGTACATAAGTCTGTTTAAAAATATAACTTTTATTGTTTTTTTATTAATGTCAGCTATCATCAACTTAAACATTCGTGTTGTGACTTGATCATTTAATTAAAACGGTTTACATGGTATCCGTCCTTAATCATTTCGTTCGTTTCATGCCAATAAAGATAATCAAAGTAAATCAGAGCACAATCTAAAATGTTCTAAAAATGATTAAGGTAAACTCTGAGATCAATGCTTTTGACCTTATTTTTAAGAAACCTTATTAAACGGGGAATGAACAGTATGATAAAAAAACAAACATTTTAAATGGCAACTTACTAATCACTAGTATATAAAATTCTGTGCATTGTTTTCAAATGGTTAGTTTTTTGCGAAATATAAACATTCATGAAATAATTATGTCTTAGAGGATTAAACTGAAATAGAAATGAAATAGAATGATTTATCGAAAAAACCATTTCTCATAGTTATAAATTTGTTGAATAAAGAAAATCGTCCGAACATTTTTATGGTCTAATTGTTTAAGTCTATTTAATCACATTACCACGGACGAGGTGGGTAGTCAGTAGTGGTCCTGTTGTATATTAACAGACTGATAAAATTATGTAAATTCATTACACATCACATGATCTATGGTTGTTAGAACATTGGAGCTAAATTTGTGCATTCAGAATGATAATATTGTCAGTTCTTCATCCTAGCTTTGCTAAATGTAGCACCTCATATATACATCTTGCACTTTGATCATTGTTGAACTTGTACGCGTATGTATGCTTGAGCATTACTTATCACCCCAAGCACTTAGTCATTTGACTAGCTTTATCGATGAACTGTATCATTAATTCCACAGGAAAATCGATTATATATATATATATATATTCTATCCAATATTTATGTAGTTTAAATAATAAAGAAATTGTATCAATGATTCGTGTTCTATAGTAACGTTCACCAAGACAAAGATATACGGAATTTAGAAGATGAAGAACATCCGAGGCGTCAATATAATTTTTTTCACTCTCACTATTATTTGTAGTAGCATCCGGTGGTGACATCGTCACATTTAGTAGAGCGATATTCACTTGATCCGCTTTCATATTATCTGTTTATTCACTTCTTACCTGTTATAATATCAATTCTCTGATCCATCTTATCAATCAATAAATTCAAAATAAATGCTGGCCGACTGACTCCACTCGGCATACTGAATTTATCACTGATAAGATGTAATAGGGCTTCACTCATATATAGACTAATTTGCAATTTCTAAATTTTCAGACGCGAATATATACACCATGTAACGAATTGATTGATTGTACTACGAAATTTGCCGAATCATTTAGTTAACTAATTCACTAGCATTTATTTGTTGAATAATAAATAAAGTTGTACTTTTGGAACTTACTTCATTGAAGAATTCTGCAATCGTTGAACTATATCGGGTTTTGTCAACCTAAATAATGAATCAGGTTATTTTTTTATTAACATAAGTATTGAAAAAATTTAAACAAACCTCTCTAGTTGTGCTACTGTTGCCATCTTCACGAAGCCTTAACTTTGATGAGAACGATCGTAGAAATTTGTTCGACAGTTCATTAAATAATTGATTGGCCTATTTAATTGAAAAAACAGATAAACTGATCAAATCAAAGAATGATACTTTTATATTATTATATAAAAAAAAACCTTCAAAAAGAATTAGAAAAAATTCATTAATAATGTTTCCCGGAAATAGACACATCACTGAATTGTAGGTAGTTTGATGAATTGTTTTGGGGAACAGTGAATTTCCACAACTTTGCCGTTCATCATTCTCTGGTTTTATGAAACACACATGCATTTCTGCCTTGAAGTCACTTTTTAGGTGCTTGCAATAATGTACTCTAAAAACAGTTCCATGTAATAGTTATTCACAGTCTTAAATTTGATGTAATGTTTTATTAAATATTCAACTCACTTGTTGATTTGTTTGTTGATTTATACTGAGATATTCATCACGTCCTTCTACTATCTTTCGGAAATTCTCTCTTACTTCATCAAGGCAATTTTTTGTTGGTTTAGCTAAATATTTCGGGTAATAAGCAATATTTTATCATGTTAATCGAATGAAGTCATATTTAACAAATACATAAACGTGTCTTTGACTGGAACTGCTAACAAAATATTTGGCAGAGAAAGGTCTTTATTTCATTATCAACTGATATTACTTTAGAGTGAGCCATATTCCAGCAGTGCATGCACATAACGCTGTACTAAGTACTTAGTACTGTGTCCAATAAGTCACTTTAAAACAACATTGGTTGGATCAAAGTTAGATTTTGAACTCATGCAACAACGTCAAATGGGTGTAAATGATAGAATATTCATTGCTTGAAAAGCCAGAAAGATTTTTCAACATGCCGCTAATGTAAATCGATAATTCACAATTACTAACAAGATGTTATACTGTCTTTTTAAACTGTACTTCTCATTACTTATCGAGATTTGCTGTTGTTCAATGTGTTCGATCACTGAAAACAGAATGACATTTTTTGGAAATATCTTTTCAATGTGTCAACTTGTTTTATATCAACTTTGAGACTTAAATTCACATTTGTGTGAATAATAAAAGGTACTTACGATTACCATCAGGATAGAACTCATCGAAATGCTCATTCAAAGTACTCCTCATATTGTACAAAAAACCAATTACTATCATATTGTGTATAATTCTAGAAAAGTGATAAAAAGATACACGTTTTCGATCAATTTACAATCGGTATTCTTCTGAAAAAGAAACATTAGTGATCGTTTTTGAAAACAGAATTCGATAAATCTTTAAATACACATCCGTCACATAGGCGTTAAATGGATCAAACTCCACTTTTTTTGAAATTTCATCCTTTGTGATATTCATCTATTGATAATTCCTATCTTATCTGAACTAATGACAATGTGGATTTTAATCAGCTTATCTGAAGATCATATCATTCACTTAGCACAAGTGATACACTCATACTAGTAAGCAGAACACATGCTTCAATAAATAAGTAGGCAAAATCAATATGTCCAATGAGATGGGTTGTATGCAGAAAGTACACAGAAAATAAATCACTATTTATTTGTGTATCTGTGACATTGTGTTATATGAATAGCTAAGTTTAGAATGTAACAACATAGTGTGTACCCAGAGAGTACTGGTTTCTGAAAGTAAAAAAAACTGAATTACCTTTGCTTAGATATATCTTCCTTAGATTCATTAAAAAGTTTGCAAGACAACTGCAATGCATTCAAATCTTTGATGAATATTTTAAGGTGACGATATGACCAATAATTCATTCCTTGGAAAAAAATTTCGAATAAATAATCCCAATCCATCTAGTGAAAGGAAATAATTTAGGATATGTCATAGATAAAATTGCGTTTTCCATCAATGATCAATATCACTTTGCTAATACTCATCAACTCAATCAAATGGAAATTCTTTTTCACAATAAACACATCTACTGCCAATTTCATAATATAACATATAGTATAGCATTGAACCATTTTATTCATGAACGTGATCATATTATGCTAGGTCAAAGTGAATGTTGAAGTGCGTTTGTCAAAAATTTACACTATGGATGCCAAAAAAATGTTTTTAATATCTAGTATTATTGATTTATGTGTAAAAAAATCTAACTGTGTTATTTATGAATTCTAACTATGAGGGTTGCATTAGACATTCAAAGAAGATGAAAAGTATGACTTATGAATCGGTCGATTGTGCCTTTTCTCTTCTACTCATTGTTAATTTTAATTAAAGCAAAAACTGAGAGTGCAATAGAAAAAAGTTCCGATTAATTGACGCTACGAAATTCTTAGATCTTGAGTAAAAACTGAAGTTTATACTTTGTGTATAGTCAATGATGAAGTAAGTATTGTATGTCAAATAGGGTTCTGTAATTTCCTCAAGAATGTATGGCCAACGTAGGTAGAGGCTTCGAAAAGTGCCTTTCAATAAGTCTCAGCATTGTGAAGCGATTCAAAAATATTCTGTGAAGTTTGTTTCCAGCTTGATAAGAATAAATGTGAATACTAATTAGAATTGAAGAAAAATTTCAGATTATTAGAGAATGTGCTGATAGAATTTATGCAGAAACTCATCTGAAAAGTTACTATCAACAGTCCTCTTAAGTAAAACCGAAACATGAGTTAAAGTGTACATGCTTAATTCATGAGTTTCGAATTAGTGTAAGACATCTGTAATGCAACGTTCAAAAGTTTCACGGGAAGATAAAATTGTACGATCTGCCAAAGACTGAGCCATTTGTATTATGAACAAGCATAAACACGTGAATATGGTTAAGCTGTTTAAAAAACTGCTTCAAAGATGATGCCGTAGTGAGCATCGAGATGTTTGTGATGATTTAAGAGATTTACGATTCGGTAATCTTTTTAATCAACTTTGTATCGATAGAAAGAAGGCTGAATTATTGGTAGAAATAAAATTCTGATTTGACAAAATGATCATAGTACTTTATATTGTGTACAAATCTGAACTTACAATAGGACAGATTCCTTCTAATTCGTCGAATGAAACTAATTTGTCCTCCGGATATTTTGATTGCATCTGAAAGAAAAGACAATATGTCACTAGAATTATGCAGTCAGATTTTCAAAACATAATCCCACGAAAAGTTTTAGAGCCTAAATCAGAATCCGAAATCATTTTATTGATGTTTGATGACATTTAGAGTGAACTAGTTATTCAAATAGTTGTCAATACTCATATACATCTAATTATATCATATATATTTGTAATCTTCGTTTTATCATCTATTAACATATCACATATATTGTTAACTACCTGGTGTTTTGTATTAAAAAAAGTAACGTTTATATATTCTGCTACGTCTGTATCTTAATATCATTTTGACGGAAAACAAATAGTACTGTAGTTATTAATTTTTGACGAATCGTATACACAAGTAGAAGCGAAATCATGCATGTAACTGCCAGCTGAACCATAACATATTCGTATGTTTGTTTACTCACTGAAATTCTGTAAATGGTTTGATCAGATGTTTAATACATTATTCTGATACTAACTATTTAAATTAGTCAGTGATATTCAGATGTATAACAATAAAGTCGAGTTGACTGTAATAATCTTTTAGTAATATAGCACAACAGTGAATCCACTTCGTCTTACTTACATTTTTTATTTTTGAATACATTTCAAAAACACCATTCATCATATTTTCATTGTTCTGAGTAGCGCCGACATTTTGCAAGTATTGGAAAATTTGTTTCTTTTTTCTTTTTTCTTGTTTATCAGTCTATTATTTATGAAAAAACGAACAGCTATGATTTCATAAAATACCATCAATAATTCAGAACCAGTTAGGTTTTTGTGAGTTTGATGAATAGAAGAATGTTCAGAAAAGTGTATTTTTTTCATTGATTGTCATTTAAATGTGCTTATCCACCAATTGCTTGCAAAGATTGCACAAGGTTATCTTCACTTTTATGCATGTAAAACAGTAAATACTAGTGCTTT